AGCCTGTATGACTTTGGCTGAGAAATAGTGTATGTAGATGGAATAGAGGAAGCATGTACTCTCCAGTTCACTGGTGCTTCCTGATCAAAGTATGTGACTAAGAGAGGATTATCATTATGTGGGCAAGGACAGACTGTGTGACAGAGCTCTTAACCTGCAATGAGGCATCTGCTTCAGAGAGAAATCTCCTCATATCTAAAGTAGAGTTTTGTGTATAGATGTGCTTTTACCTGTAGATAGGATCTGTAATTTTCACCAGATTATCTCCAAGGTGTGTTTGCGTTGGCTTAAGAAGGATGGAGGTTTAAGCACAGAATCTGGAGCCAGACCACCTGGGTATGCATCCTGGCTAACCTATCTATATTGGCTGTGTCACAGTGGTCATTGACATTTAACCTGTCTGAGCCTCAACTTTCTCATCTGTGAAATAGGGATAATAATTGGACCTATCTCATAGGGTTGTTGTGAGAACCATGCCAGGCACATAAGAAGTGCTTAGAAATATTAGAGCTCCCATTGCTACTCTTGTTAATGTTTTCTATAGACTAATGAGGGCAAGAGAACAAGAACATGAAGCTCCCTAACCTTTCCCTTCAAGAGGAGGGCATCTAACTTGTCCCATAGTTCCAGTTTCAGATCTCTAAATTCAGTGCCCTAGTGTGATCATTATGCTACATCACCAGTGTACTGGGTGGATGATCCATAGTGTGGGCTTAGTGTCGTGAGAGAAAGCAGTGAAAGTGAATAAACCTAGTGCTGAGGAAAAACCATTAGCAGTAGCATCAACTCACATTTATTGATGGGATGCAAGGAACCGTGCATAGGCCATGGTGGAGTGAATGTCTCTGACCCTCAGAGGAATTTATACTTACTCACCTGTGACACAGGAAGGGGATTTGAAGAGGGCTGTGATGTGACAGAAGTGGCATTCATGGTGTGCTCCTCAGACTGTAAGATATAGAATAAATAGACCGAGAAAAGCAGAGAAGGGATGAATTTTTTTCCAAGAAGGCAGTTGACAGAAGAACAACTAGGGAGTACCTTCCCGCAGTGGGGAGACAATAGGAAGACATGGAAGCTGAGGTGATTGAAAAGGGTGAGGGGTTGGAGAGAGCACCTTGGAAGCCCAGGACTAGAGGGCGTCAGGAAGAACATGGTGGTACATAGTGGAACAGCAGAGCAGACAGAAAATGGGTCAAGGAGAAAAGCTGTTGGGTTGGACTTAAGGTAGTTTTTTGAAACTTTAGGAGGGGTCAGGGTGCAAGCCCAGCTATCCTATTATGCTCCATTGGCAGCATGTCAGTACTTCGTTCCCTCAAAGGCTACGTACAGTGGAGTTGCAAGGAATTGAAGCTGGGACAATTAAGACTGTAAGTCTTGGCCCCATATGGTGTTTGTAACCTACTGTAAGAAAAAATCTGTAAAACATAAACACAAGAATAAGTGCAGAGTCACACACGGGATAAACTGCAAGGGAAGTGGTCAGTGACTGGAACTGTGAGGCCTCCGTAGGGATTCTTCAAGGGTGACCCTCTTTAGGGAGAATTTTAGGGGTGTGGCTTTTTTTCTGAAAAGGGAGAGGGAGGCCAGCCAGAGAAATGGTGGCTGAGAAGTGCAGCTCTTGGCATTTGGAGCATGCGTTGAACAGGTCAGAGGAGTGAAGCCAAGAAATAATGTGACTTGCCATTCATAGAGCTTTTGAGGAATGACCAACAAGCAGACTTTGTCTGAAACAAATAGGAGTAGCGATAGTTTGGGGTGAGAGAAAAGTCACTGAGTTTCAGTGGGAAAACAAGACCCTTGGATGGCATCTAAATTTGTGCTTTCCTCTCTGGGTTCGCCCTCAGAGATCCTGGAGAGCTGTGTGTGCCCTCAGGGCTGCCTGGCTCGTGCTCATTGGTCTAGAGAAAGAAGTCAGCCGGGAGGTGAACAGGCTGCTTCTGGGCTCCTTAGCAGAGGGCACTTCTCAGGCTGTGGACACTTCTGCTGACTGAACTTTGTGGTGGATGGGTTTAAAAAATACAAACCACAAACCAAAACAACTCCTTTTCTCTACCGCATTTTCCACCCTGCATTTTTCCTGGTATATTTACTGGGGAAATGGTACTTTCTAACCTTTGTTTCTGAAAGAGGCCACAAGTAATATCCGGCTATAAGAGTATCTCTTCTTTTATCAGCAAATGGTTTATGAATGTAAATGTGTCCTCACCACATAGCCAGAATTTTATGTTTCCTCTGGAGGAAGAAGAAGCCTCTTCTCAGATCACTGTTTCAAATGGCAGTCATACTTATAAGTGGTGGTTTTGGTTCCCTTCCTCTGGCCTTTTTTTTTTTTTTTTTTTTAAAAAACATCCAACCCATCCTGTTATCTATCTTTCTAAATACATGCACTTAGAACACATGGAGTCTCTTGTCTCTTTGATTTAAACAGACAAAATAGCTAGCCAAACATGGTAGTATGCACCTATAGTCTTAGCTACCCAGGATGCTGAGGCAGGAGGATTGTTTGAGCCCAGGAGTTCAAGTCCGGCCTGGGCAAGATGGTGAGACTCCATCGCTAAAAAATAAATAAATAGAAGATACAAAATACATTATAAATGGACCCAACAAAAACTGGGTTCCTGTTTGTTGATATGGGATTTGTGAGCAGATGGAGTTGGTTTCAAAGTTAGGTACCTGAGCTAGACTAAGTGCTGTCTATTGCTGAAGCCATAACTACCTCCCAAGTCTCTTTGCCCACAGATTGCTCAACTGGAGGAAGCTGAGCCCAATGAGAAAGACGGAATTTGAATTTAAGACCTGGGTTTGATGTCGGCTTTACTTACTGCCCTCCTGTCTGACAGTATTGTTGTGAGGATTAAAATGAAAACCAGGATAGGGATGTGAAATTGCATTGTGAAGTGTAAAGTCCTCACAGAGTTTTGGGGGTATATATGTGTGCATTTTTTTGTTTTGTTTTCTAAAGTGTAATTCTTTTAGTAGATAATGAAATTACATCGTTCCAAAATCAAAATATAAAAAGATATATGAAAGAATTTTGTTTCTATCTCCGTCACTCTTCATTCCCCTACCTCTCTCTTAGGTTATTATTTCTATTTCTGGTATGTCTTTCCTTGTTTTTTTAGTACTAACATTACACATATTTAAGTATATTATTGCCTCCTTTTCTTACACTAGTGGTAGCACACTAGGTCGCCTGCTCTGCATCTTGTTCTCACTTACAGCGTATCTTGGGGACATTTCCTTATCAGTACATCAGTACAGCTTCATTATCTTCCATTGTCTGGATCTAGCACAGTTTATGTAACCATTTCCCTTACTAATGGGACTTGAGTTGTTGCAGTCTTTTGCTATTACAAACAATATTGCAGTGGGTTATTATATATATGTACAGTGCTTAGAATAGTGCCTGGCACATGGTAAGTGCCAAATAAATATTAACTTCGTTGCACATAAATTCATATTGTATGCATGTAAGTATTGTGTATCTGTAGCATGAAGTACCAGAAATGACATTGCTTAATGAAGAGGGTAAATGCATTTGTAATTTTTCTAGATACTGAAAAGGACAGATCTAACACCTCTGGACACCATTCCATAGGCAGTGTGTCATTTTGCACATTTGCAACATAACCTGTACAAATTCAAGGAAGTATTAGGTCATGCTTCACCCAGTGGATACCTAACAGAAGTGGTTGACAAATTATCACTACTTAATTATCTGTTGAAATTGTCTGGATTCATAGTTGGGGACTATGCCAATGCCTTAGTGAGTAATGGAGTTTTTCGTTGAGAGTCTTGTTTCTGATGTTTTCTTATCGATTATCCTTCTTTTTTCTTGTATGTTTTTCATTATAATAGCAGAAAAATGTTTGTAAGCATAACACCAGTTAGAAACCAAAAAGAAAAAGATTAATAAATTTGACTTAATAAAAACAAAAATGGGCCGGGCACAAAGGCTTAACACCTGTAATCCCAGCACTTTGGGAGGCCGAGGCAGGTGGACCACCTGAGGTCAGGAGTTTGAGACCAGCCTGACCAAAGCGGCGAAACCCCATCTCTACTAAAAATACGAAAAATTAGCCGGGCGTGGTGGTGGACATCTGTATTCCCAGCTACTCAGGAGGCTGAGGCAGGGGAATCACCTGAACCTGGGAGGCAGAGGTTGCAGTGAGCTGAGATCGCGCCACTGCACTCCAGCCTGGGCTACAGAGCAAAACTCTGTCTCGAAACAACAACAACAACAAATGTTAGTAGGCTAGAAAATATAAACTAAATTAGAAGGCAAATTACATAATAGGAAAAAAATGTTTGCAACCAATATAAATATAGAGTGTACTATAACTGATCACTATGAAAAAGAAGAAAGCTCCAATTTAAAATATGCAGAGGGCTAGGTATAGTGGCTCACACCTGTAACTCCAGAGGTTTGGGAGGCCAAAACAGAAGGATTGCTTGAGCCCAGGAGCTCAAGACCAGCCTGGGCAACATCGCAAGACCCCATCTCTACGAAAATTAAGAAAATTAACTGGGTGAGGAGGCGCATGTTCATAGTCCCAGCTACTTGGGAGGCTAAGGTGGGAGGATCGCATGTCCGCAGGAGTTTGAGGCTGCAGTGAGCTATGATTGTGTCACTCAGCCTGGGTAACACAATGAGACCTTGTTTCTCTCTTTTTTTTTTTTTGAGACAGAGTCTCACTCTGTCACCCAGGCTGGAGTCCAGTGGCACGATCTTGGCTCACTGCAGCCTCCACCTGCCTGATTTAAGCAATTCTCCTGCCTCAGCCTCCCAAGTGACTGGGACTACAGGCACGTGCCACCATGCCCAGCTAATTTTATGTATTTTTAGTAGAAATGGGTTTTACCCTGCTGGCCAGGCTGGTCTTGAACTTCTGACCTCGTGATCTGCCCGCCTCGGCCTCCCAAAGTGCTGGGATTACAGGCGTGAGCCACCATGCCTAGCCAGACCTTGTCTCTTAAAAAAAAAAAAAAAAATGAACAGAGTTCTCAGACACTTTAGAAAATAAAACTGTCAATAGCAAGCAAACACATAAAAGGAGAAAAGACTCAAATTGGATCCAAGAAGAAAGTTAGTAATTATGTATACCAGATATTGATTAGGATATAAGGAAATTTAATACAGTGAAGCATTGCTTAAGACAGGGATCTTTTCTGAGAAATGCATCATTAGGTGATTTTGTCATTGTGTGGACATCATGGATTGTACTTAGACAAACCTTGATGGTGTAGCCCATTGCCCCTAAGCTACAAACCTGTACAGCATGTTACTATACTGAATACTCTAGGTAGTTGTAACATGGTGCTAAGTGTTATTTGTGTATCTAAACATAGAAAAGGTACAGCAAAAATACCTTATTATAATATTATAGAACCACTATCATATATGTAGTTCATTGCTGACCAAAATGTCACTACGCAGTGCATGAATGTAGATGATTAAGGGTGTGCACAAAGATTTACCTACAGAAATGTTTATAACAGTATTGTTTCTAAGCATGAAAAAACAGTCTGGATTCCAACAATAGGGGACTGATTAAATGTGTTTTGATTTAATCATGTAGATTCAGTACTTAAAAATTATGATGTAGATAGATGTATTTCATTATCAATAAGGAAAGAGATTAATTGGAAAACAGTATGTGTATTACTTTGTAATACAAGGCCACCATGTAAGATGTCTCATTTTTATGAAATTTATAGCTTCTAGTACATATAGAAACTTTATCAAGGATACATGTAAAATTTGACAGAGCTTGAGCATGTGTCCCAAGGTGGTGGGATTGTAGGCAGTTTAAAAATTATTTGTCTTCTCTTTCTCCTCCTTTCATGTTTCCAGAATTTTTTATGATGAGTCTTTGGGTAATTTTTAAGGAGTTAAAAAGCAGTGTAACATTTCAGAAATTTTGGAGAGAAAATCTCCTATCCCATGGCATAAAATTCTCAAGTTTTATTGCTGTTCATGGTTTTTTTTTCTCATGTACATCTATATTTGTAACGTAGTTGTAATTATACAGGATATGCCACTTTATTTTTATTACCTAAACGTTTTTTCATGTTGCTACACAGTCTTTACAACTTCATTATAAAGTGATTCCTGTTCTGTGAGGTGGTTTCTCCCCGGTGATTGGGAAGCTTGAAATAGAAGACAAGTGCCAGTGAGACGTCTGCTTTCCTTTCTGGGAGCCTTGTTTCAACCTTGAGTTCCGACCGCCAGGTGAAAGATTGGCAGTGACTGAATGAAGGGTTGGTGGTCCAGCTGCTTAGTTTCATGCTGCCAGACAGACCGTTAGAGCAGAACAGATACCTTCATTTTGTCACAACTTTTTTAAAAATGGCAAAAAATAACAGCCACATATAGTTTGTTAGTGAGGTGAAATACCTCATAGAACAAGACAACAAAGAATATAAAATATTTCTAATATGTTAAAATATAAATATTTTATATTCTTTGTATTCTTTAGTCTGAAAGGCTTAAATCTTACATCTCTGGTGGAATTTCAGAAAAAAAAAAAAATTGTTTTCTTAGGTAAAGCGTCTTTTTTCTCTTAAACTAGCCCATGTGAAACTCTTCTGTTTCTGAATGAATTTCACCTAACCTGTCTACAGCTATATTCACAGACACTGTTTTTCCCTTTACAGACTGACCCTACCCCTTCTGTTACAAAACACAGAAACATTGCCAGTGTTTTTTGATTGGTTGGTTGGTTGGTTGGTTGGTTTGAGGTGTTTTGTTTTGAGGACTGTTCACTTTTCTTTCTTTCTCATTGCATGTAAACAAGACATTAAAGTTTAAACAAAATTTAATTTCACCTTAGTTCCTAAAGCTGACTTTCTTTATCTATTTATCTATTTGTTTCCCTCAGTGTAACCTTGGGATCCCTGGAGCAGGTTTTTATTTTGTTTTCTTTTCTTTTTCCCTTGGAATGCTTGTGTCTCATGGCCAGTGGGCCTAAGGGTTAGGAACCGTACCTTTCCACAAATGAAAAGTGCCACCCGAATCCTGCCTGAGCCAGTGCTTTGCTGCTTCCTACACAGATTTCAGACATGCTGATCCTAATCTTCTCAGTCAAACTCCAAGACACACAGTGTCAACAGTTACGGCAGCCGCAAGTTCATTATCTACATAGGGCGCAATTACTTGGCAGCTACCTAGACTGTGAGGATTTTGTGGGTCCCCAAAGAACTCATATCCTGAAGAGAGAGACTAATCAAGGTGGGTCCTCTTGGCAGGGACATTGAAAGGGTGGATTACAATTGATAGGAATTTTAATTTGTGAGGACTTAATCTGATATGCTTTTGGAACAAGATAGTGTAGATGTACTTATTGTCCATATTCTGGGAGCATTCTTTGAAGATTCATTTGATTGTATGGTGATAGTATTGTTGAAAGGACACAGAATTTTATTACATGAATCTGCTTCTATCCTTCACCTGCCTAACTGCCCAGGGCTACTGCAAGTGTTTATTCAGCCTGCATTGTGGTGAGGGAAGGGATGACTAATGTCTCAAACAGTGCGGTGTTCCCTAGTCTGCTCTCCTGCTTGCTGAAAGCTCCTTTTTGGGAAGGCAGATGCTGAGTTTTCAGGAAGCACTCACTTAGGATGCAGTGTTTTAGTTTTAAATATATGCACTAGTTGACCTTTGAGCGGACAGAACTTTCGTTGCCAGAACCTGGTGGCACTGGTGTGAGTGATGTTAATTAAGGGCCAGGTCCTGACACCAACAAAGCCAGAAAGTTTGGAATATATAATCAAGACAAGCCGGAAGTAGCACAGGCTGCAGAATGGGCCTGTACCCTCCTTCCGTCTCTTATCTATTGAAAGTAGGGGCCCTGGGTCCAGGAGGCCAGCTTATCAAGAGACAAGGATGCATTCCTTTATCTGCCTTGGTCGGAGCACTTGAACACTTTTACAGAGCACTCCCAACCCCCACCATTCCCACCCCCAAGACAGGATCTCACTCTGTTAAGGCTGGAGTGCAGTGGTGTGAACTTGGCTCACTGAAACCACAGGCTCAGGCCACCACACTGGCGAATTTTTTTTATTTATTTTTATTTTTATTTTTATTTTTTTTAAATATTTTTTGTAGGGATGGGGTTTCGCCATGTTGCCCAGGCTGGTCTTGAACAACTGGGCTCAAGCAGTCCACCTGCCTCGGCCTCCTAAAGTGCTGAGATTATAGGTGTGAGCCACTGCTCCTGGGCTCCAGTGTTTTTGAGGGTAAATGTATGCTATGCCACATCAGGATGATCTGTCTCTGACTTCTGTCAGAGGTGAAAAACAGGATTGGGCATAGATGACTTCACAAATCAATTGTGTTTTCAGGTTAAATAGTGCCCTTTGTCACACCATTTAGCATACAAAATTAGACTTACCACTATAGTTGCCTTTTAATTATTTAAACCAGTCTTGCCTCAAGAGCAACAGTTCTCCCTAGGGCCCTTTCAGGGGGTGTGCAGGGTCTGCCCTTGAGCAACGTATCTGTGTGAGGCTGGATTTCCTTCATCTGCTTCAACCAGAACAACATACTGCAACAGATTAAACACAGATGCAGATACTGGAATTCAGCTGTCTTCTACAAATCCAGATATTAAAATGTAAAACAATGCCACTTTTCTAACTAAAAATATTTTTTTACAGAATATAATTATTTTTTCCTTAAAATATATTGTTTATATTCATTTTTCATACTTATTTTTAAATGAATTAATATTTTTAGCTTTCTGTTTTAGTTTCTGGTATAGTAAGTTATGATAGATATTAGTCCACATAAAGAATGTTTTAGGTCCTTAATAATTTTAGGAATGTAAAGGCAGGGCTTGAGGCCAAGAGGCTTGAGAACTGCTGCACTAGGGGACCCTCTTGGTAGAAACACCTACTTCTCCTTTCCCTGGGTCCTGTGTAGTGGGAAATGGTATAGCACAGGTCTAGGTTGATACAAACTTTCAGAGAAAAATGGCTCTGGTGTTTACTGTAAAACAAGTATCAGATACAGTCAGATGACAGTCGTGGTGCTGATGGCCATTGCTAGTCCAGGTAGCCCTTGGATGTGTGTGCCTGCATTGCTCTTGATTCAGTACACATCGTTTGCTCTGTGTTCTGTCTGTGGCCCAGCAGCCCATTCTTGTTAAATATATGGACTTCAGTCTCTCACGTTAATTTTGCTCTTCTTTTTAGCAATGGCTTGGGTAAAGCATTTTTTTCCAATTTAAGTTTTTTTGGAGATCTGTTCCTGAAAGAACAGATTTGTTTGTTTTTGTTTTTTTAACTTTCAGTCGTTTTGGGGGAACAGGTGGGTTTTGTTTACATGGATAAGTTATTTAGTGGTGATTTCCGGGACTTTGGTGCACCCGGCACCTGAGCAGTGTACACTGGTATGTTGTCTTTGTTTTATCCCTCCACCCCTCCCACTCCTCCATCCTGAGTGCCCAAAGTCCATTATGTCATTCTTATGCCTTTGCATCCTCATGGCTTCACTCCAACTTATATAAGTGAGAACATATGATATTTAGTTTTCCATTCTTGAGTTACTTCATTTAGAATCATGGTCTCCAGCTCCATCCAAGTTGCTACAAAGTACATTATTTTTTTCCTTTTTATGGCTGAGTGTAATATTCCACAATATGTAAATGTCACATTGTCTTTATCCACTCGTTGGTTGATGGGCACTTAGGTTGGGTCCATGTTTTTGCAATTGTGAATGGTGCTGCTATAAGCATGCGTGTGTGCAAGTGTCTTTTTCATTTAATGACCTCTTTTCCTTTGGGTAGATACCCAGTAGAGGGATTGCTGGATCGAATGGTAGATCATTAGTTCTTTAAGAAGTCTCCATACTGTTTTCCTTAGTGTTTGTACTAGTTTATATTCCCACCAGCAGTGTAAAAGTGTTCCCTTTTCACCACATCCACGCCAACATCTATAATTTTTTTGCTTTTTAATTATGGCCATTCTTGCAGGAGTAAGGTGGTATCACATTTTGGTTTTAATTTGCATTTCTCTGATAATTAGTGATATTGAGCATTTTTTCATGTGTGTGTTGGCTGTTTGTGTATCTTCTTTTCCAGATTGTCTATTCATGTCCTTTGCCCATTTTTTGGTGAGATTTTTTTTTTCTTGCCAATTTGTTTGAGTTCCTTGTAGACTCTGGGTGTTAGTCCTTTGTCGAATTCATGGTTTGTGAAGATTTTCTACCACTTTGTGGGTTGTCTGTTTACACTGCTATTTCTCTTGCTGTGCAGAAGGCTTTTAGTTTAATTAGGTCCCATTTATTTATGTTTTTGTTGCATTTGCTTTTGGGGTCTTAGTCGTGAATTCTTTGCCTAAGCCAATGTCTAGAAGAGTTTTTCCAATGTTATCTTCTAGAACTTGTATTGGTTTCAGGTTTTAGATTTCAGCCTTTGACCATCCTGAGTTGATTTTTGTGTAAGGTAAGAGATGAGGATCTGGTTTCTGAAGGGGAATTTGTGTTGGCCTAGTGGAGCCTGAGATGCAGGTTAATCCTCCTTATGGAAGACGACGATTACTAGGATGGGTACCCGATGACACCACACTTTTTCTCTCAGCTGAGCGCTCAACCTTAAATGAGGCATTAGTGCCAGGACACCTCTGTATAGTCCTAACCCGCTGGAGAGGCCTTCCTAAGGAGAACAGGTTAAGCAGATGTCTCATTCTTCTAGTTCTGCCTGATCCTTATCATAGATTTCCTCCTAGGAAAGCAAGGACTGCTTGATCATTTCACTCCCACAGTATCATCTGCAAATAAGTGCGTATCTAGGAATGATGACATGACCCTATCAAAATGCTCACAGCAGCCTACCTGATTGTTGTAGGAGTGTGTGATAGAAAGGAATGGGGGAGAACAGCCATTGACACTGGTAGGGTAAGAAGGGAAATGGGGTGCTTGCCCTTCTGACCCTAGAGATTTATGCCCTAGATGTGGCTGTATGAATGAGAAGTTTTTCTGCCTCCCTACTAGTACACAGGTAGTCACTCACCATCACCAAGGCAGCTGAGGAAGAGAGCAGCAGCACAGGATCTGGTGTTAGCCTTGGGTCCAAGTCTCAGCTCCAAACCTCACCATGTGACCTGGGCACATCACCTAGTTACTCTAAGACCCAGTTTTCTAATTTTTCTAAAAATAGAGCCATGCCTGTCCTGTCTGCTTCACAGAATTGCTAATAAGGTTTTAAATTAAATGAAATTTACAGATGGGAAAGCTGAAAAATATGTATGAATATCAGTTTTGTAAAAGGTTTATCCTACAAAAAGGGTTTCTGCTCTTTGCCCCTTGCCGTCTACTCATAAGTCTTCTGTTTTTTTTCTCCAGGTTACCTGTGCATGACAGATGAGTGGTTCTCTGAGTATGTCTACGAAGTGGTGGTGGACAGGAAGCATGTCCCTGAAGAGGTGCTAGCTGTGTTAGAGCAGGAACCCATTGTCCTGCCAGCGTGGGACCCCATGGGAGCTTTGGCTGAGTGATACTGCCTCCAGCTCTTTCCTCCTTCCATGGAACCTGACGTAGCTGCAAAGGACAGATCCAGGGACTGAAGCCAAAGTTATGCAAGGGACTATGTGTTGCCACAGGACACAGTCAGATTTCCAGTCTCCACCAGGAACCTCTTTGGGAAGTGTGGTTTATGCTGAAACAGAATACTCTTAAAGAAAAAAAGGAGGGGGAAAGATCAGGTCATACTCTCTACTCTCCTCATCTCTTAACAGCTCAGGATCTCTTAGCATTTTAATCAGATGTAATTGTTTGTCTTTGACTGTCAAAAAGTTTGGTTCTGTGTCTGTGTTTTAATAAGACAAGAGAGGATGAGCGATTGAGGTGTATGGAGAGAAAACAGACCTAATGCTCCTTGTTCCTAGAGTAGAGTGGAGGGAAGGTGGCCTAAGAATTGAGCTCTCGGAACTGCATGCTGCTGGACAGTATCACTGTCTTTCTTAGATGGCAGTCACTGAATTCCATTTTTTTCAAGGTAATTTCTGGTGCCTCTAATAGCCCAGAAATGGGAGGTTGATCGGGTCTGACATGATTCCTTCCTGTTCTGAACTGTGGGGTGCACATCTCTGCTTGAGTCAAGTTTGAGTAGAGGCTTAGAGACAGTTGGGTGAGAACAACCAAAATCTTATCATGGTCTCAGTTACAATCATTAGGGGGAGCTCTAGCCAAATGGTTTAACTTCTGCCTTTGGAACTGGGGATTGGGTGGGCAGGAAAAGGTGATATCCATTCTTTCTGATAACTAGATGGTGCTGAGAAGCTTTTGAATAAAAACTTTGCTAAATGAAAATAAGCTGATTTATGGGATCTGTCTAAGAAGTGTTTGTTTAACTACAAAAGAAAGCAGCCAGGTGGCTGGCTCATGTTCTTAAAAGTGAAAAACAGGAAAAGGGCTTTTCCCTCCTCATCTTCTCCGCAAGATGTGTGCTCTTTCCCAGACTGCCGGTTCTCACCAGCATCTGCAAAGGGCTTCCAAGTGCCTGTTTAAGGACTGTTCCCTACCATGTAAATGTTCTGCCCAGATCCAGGGTCCCTGCAAGGGTGAGGAGTGAGGCTCTGTTGGGCCCAGCCTTAGAATAGGTCAGTAAGTTATCTTACTGAGATTGGCCCACCCTTTCAAGAACAAGGGTGAAATAGAAGACATTTTCACAAAAAAACTGAGTTTGCCCCAACAGAATGGAAGTGATCATATGGAAGGGTTGAAATGTATCAAGGAATGTAGAATAAAGAACATGATTGTTATGTGGATCAGCTACACAAAAAGCAACTATAGATGAGTCTTACAGGGTTTGAAAAAAGGTGAAACTAAAATCCATGAAGGTAGCAGATAACTAGGGAGGGGAGGTAATAGGAATGAACATACTCTAAGATCCTTGTGTCTTTCAGGAAGAAGATAAATACATTGTTTAACTTCAGACTTTGGTATGTAAACATGTGTGCCAAAAACTTCTGTAGTATCTACTAAAAATAAGCAGAGGATACAGTTTCCAGTCAAGAATAAATAGAATGGAAAAATGCAATCAGTCCATAAGAAGACAAGATAGGGTAGAGAAAGAAAAGGCAGGACAAATAGAGCATCCAAAATAAGATACTAGAGAGAAATCTAAATGTGCCAATAATTATATGTAAATAGACTAAATGTTCCAGAAAAAAAAAAAAAAGCCAAACTGGATTTTTAAAAGAAATCAGCCATATGTGATGACAAGAGAGAGACATAGGCAACCTAGAATATAAGAAAGGATGGAAAAGATACATCAGGCAGATACTAACCAAAATAAAACTGAGAAGTTATATTCATAACCCACAAAATTAAGGCCACTCCGAATAACGAAACAGATGGTCTAATTCCAGGGTATGCTATTTGCATAACTGTAATGTGAATGTCCTCCCTAGAGCTGTGGAACACCGCAGCCCTGGAAACAGGCCTTAAGACAAGAAGCATTACTACAGATAGAACCACTACATAATGATACGCTTACCCAATTCTTCAGAAAAACATAAAGATTCTAAGTTACGTACCTAATAACATTGCCTCAAAATATGTAAAACAAAAACAGCTATATGGAAAAATAAGAAATCCAACATCATAGTGGGAGATTTTAATATACTTCACATAGACCAAGCAACAAAAAATTCAGGTAAGTATGTAAGAGATTTAAGCATTTAGCGAGTTTGGTAAAATGGACGTGTGTAGAAGACCACATCTTCATCCTGAAAGCGCAGACGTGTGGAAACCAATGACCGAGCATGAACCTGTTTAAAAAAAAAAAAATGCATCTAATAACTGCACTTTCATGTTGATCACATATGGAACTTTTTCAAACATTGACCACACGCTGAACAGTAGAGTCAACCTCAACAAATTTGAAAAGGTTGTTGCCACGTAGAACACACTCCAACCACAGTGCAATTAAGTTAGAAACCAAAATTAAAAGATTACAAGATGACCTCTATATGTTTAGAAATTAACTGATGGGTCCAAGAAGAAATCATGAAGAAAATTTAACCTGAACAATAATAAAAATACATAAAAATGAGGGATGCAGCTACAACAGTAATTTAAAAATTTTACAGCATTAAATTAATGTTACATTAATGTATTAGGATTATAGAATTTTATAGTTCTGAATAATAGAATAATGTAAATTATTCTAAATCTAAATATAAAAATTATGCTAGGATGTAATAAAGGCTGAAAATTGAGCTAAACATCTGTTTCAAGAAATTAGAACAGCAAAATAAACCTAAAGAAAGTAGATATGCACAGAAATTAAGCATGCCATCAACAAAGCCAGAAGAAGTTGGTTCTTTTAAAGAAAAGTTGACAAATATTTTTTAAGTACACATGGAATTAAAAGGATATTATAGATGCTGCAAATATTAGAAAAATATTAGAAAACTAGAAGATACCCTCAAAGCAACAGTAAAGGGATTTGTTTAGAAGACAAATCCACAAGCTCGGGAAGGCCAGGAGAGGAGTCAATGAAATATTTAAACCCAGAAAGCAGATGCAGACCTTGGAAGATTTAGCAGAGCTGAAAAACTTGAATTTCACTGAGCCCTAGTGGAGAAAGCCGGTGATAAGCAAATCGGTTTACAGTGCATCGTCCCCCGAAAAGCGCAGATACGGTAGCAACAGAAAGCATGACTTCTGGAATTGGGTGTGAAGGGAGGGTTACCAAAGAGTTGAATGTCTGTTGGGTCCCCTTCCTATACCCACCAGCTTAGTGACTGCCCTTCCTCCGTTCATCAGCCCATTAGAGAGAGAAAAAGTGTAGTCTAGGTGTCAGGTGAATCCCCAAGGGGATTAAATGAGCATTTACATTCTGAATCTTCTTGCCATCCTTGGCTCCTAGAACTCTAGTAGCCAGGAAGTTGGAAGTCTTCTCAGGAGCAACTTGATTAGCTCAATAGGCAAGATGTAAAAAATGACTTTATGGCCTAAAGAATGATTTTATGAGGGTGGTATAACCCTGATAAGGATAGTGGAAAAAATACATGTAAACCTCACCCATAAACATAGATGCAAAGTCCTAAACCAAATGCAGCAATATGTAAAAAAGATAATCTTCATTACCAAATACTTAATAAAATCCATTTTTCAAATGAAATTAGGATCCAGAGGGGAGAATTGAAGCATGATGGGTTTATCTTCTCTGCTAAACGATCAGGGAAATGGGCTGAAGTTGTAGCTAGAGGTCTCAGTTGGAAGAAACTGCTAATATTTGGGTGACGAATGAGGAAATGGGAAGGCATGGAGTTGTCTTTTGCTTAAACTCCGAATCTTAAGTGTCACCAGAGGACAGCTTCATGACTGTGGCCTCTGGGAAGTCCCGGCCTGAGTAATGGTGACCCTACATGTCCAAGAAGCCAAGACATGATAATGAGACATGCCTTCAGGATGTGATGTGGCCCCATCTGCTTGCCTTGGCTTGTCCGTAAAGAGCAACTTAATTCTAATTTGCTGTTGGCAGCACCAGGGCACTCGTACTTGAAGTCCCGTTCCTCCAGTGTGCGGGTGGGCACCACTGTCCGCTGTGGCTCTGGTTAGTCATTTGTTAAATTAGATTCCACTTTTTAAAGTAATTCCAGATGAGCATGGTCATATTTAGGACAACTTCTCCAAAACGAGTAAGTCTTTTAAGTTCTACTTGCACACATTGAATGACAGGTACACACAGCCTCTCACTGTGGCCCCTGCCCACCTGTCCACACTCGACTTACTCCCCTTCTTGTACACTCTGCTTTGGCCAACCACTGACCACCTCCCACCCTGTCCCGCACTTTGTCCCTCAGACACAGCATGCTCATCTCCAACTCCTTGCTGTTCCTCCTTGCTGTTCCTTCTACCTAAAGGTCTTCCCTCAGGTCTTTGCATGGCTGGCTTCTCATTCGGGTCACGCCTTCAGTGTCAAGGCCATCTCTGACCACCTTATCTAGGGAGCCAACTTCCTCCTCCCCCTGCCTCTGCCACCTCCATGCTGTTACAGGGTCTATTTTATTCACAGCACTTACCACTTTCTGGAGGTACCGATGTATTTATATGTGTATTGTCTGTTTTCCCCAAAGTCAGTTACTCCCTGTCAGCTCCCAGGGGCGGGAACCTTGTCCTACTAGTGACTGTATTCTCAGTGCCTGGCTCATAAGAAATATAGGGTAGGCTGACACTGAGCACACCCTCCATTCTGACAGCTATAATTAATGAACAGTTTTTACATAGACCTGAAGTCAGCTTCACTGTAACTTGCTCAGTAGGGACAACTAGAATGAGAACAAAGCCCCCGGAGATCTTTGTATTCCAACATTTCACATTAAGGTCTCGATTTCATTTCATGCAGGTGCGTGGCAGCGGGGAGAATAGGTAGGGAGAGAACAACAGAGGCTTACCTGGCTTCCTCACTGCTTGAACCTTGTTTCAAATCAGCCCAACACAATGGGAAGACCAGGGCCTTTGGACTCAGATATGCTGGCCTTGCCACTTGGCAACCATATAAGTGCTTACACCTGGCAAGCCTGTATAAATGTGGAGAAGCTACTTAACCTCTCTGAGCCTCCATTTCCGTACTTCCTTTGTTGAAAAACAATATTAAAATTTATTCACTTTGTGAGGCCGAGATGGGTGGATCACAAGGTCAAGAGATTGAGCTCATCTGGCCAACATGGTGAAACCCTGTCTCTACTAAAAATACAAAAATTAGCTGGGCGTGGTGTTGCACACCTGTAGTCCCAGCTACTCGGGAGGCTGAGGCAGGAGAATCGCTTGAACCCGGGAGGCAGAGGTTTCAGTGAGCTGAGATCACACCACTGCACTCCAGCCTGAATGACAGAGCGAGACTCCATCTCAAAAAAAAAATTATTAAACATGAGAACTCAGCCTGAAAAGGAGGAAAACCGTAATTTAGTTTTTGATAACATATATAGTTATCCAAAAATAATACCAGTTTATATTGCATATTTCCCATATGGTAGAAAAGAGACAGAAGATAATTCATATAATGTACCCAGCAGAGGCTCAATAAATGGCAGCTTTTATTAAAAACAGTTCTCATGGAGCTTCTTCAATGTGTCCAGTGTTGTGGGAGCCCCTCTAGGAGTTGAAACGATTCGCTTCTCTCCAACCAAATTAGTCATTTACTTGGGAAAATAACATGTTTATGCATGAACCAGTTGAAAAAGAAGGTGACTTTATATGAGAGACGTCTTCCAGTAAACTCCGTAATAATTGTGAAAGGGCTTGACGTTGGAGAAGGAAACGTGCTGACTGGTTTTAAAGTAACTTCAACCCACAGTGAAC